CCTCCTGCTGGTGATGCCTCCTAGAATTCTATTCACTTCCCCCACTGCCTGATCACACTGTTTGCTCATTTTGCAATCATCTGACATAAGTACCCCCCAAATCCTGTTCCTCTGTAGTGATGGCCAACAATGTACCCCCCAATGTTGTACTCTCTCAAAGGATTCTTTTTCCCTAGGTGCAATATTTTTTTTGGAAACATTGAACTGCAATTTCTACATATTTGACCAATCTTCCACTAATGCCAAATCATGCTCCATGTTACATACACCTCCAGGGATATCAACCCTATTGCACATCTTTGTGTCATCAGCAAAAAGACAAACCTTACACAACAAACCTTTAGTTATATCACTTACATATAGGTTAAATAGAACAGGACCTAGTACAGAGCCTTGTGGTACACCACTAGTGACTGGTCTCAGTTCCAAGTGAACCCCATTTACAACCACACTCTGGTAGCTATCCTTTAGCCAGCTGCATATCCACTTAACCACCCAAGGGCTAACTCCTAGCTTGTACAACTTTTGTATCAGATCAATAAGTGGAACTGTATCAAATGCCTTGCTGAAATCAAGATATGCTATGTCCACAGCACCAGCCTGGTCCAAAACATTAGTAATATAGTAATAAAAATCCAATCAGATTAGTCTGACATAATCTGCCCTCAGTCTGGCCACCTCTCTCTAGAGGAGAGAACTGGCCTTTACTAAGTGTAGTATAAAGTAACAGTTTATTGCACACAAATATAAGTAACTTACAGGAGGTAGAGATTTTTCAGGCATCAAAATATATGGGAAGGACATTATCCGGGCATAGTACCATAAGCAGGATGGATAGGTTTAGGTGGGTTCCAGGGGCCACAGTTAACGTGATGGCTGGTTCTCCTTTACCGATCCCATGGGAGGAGCAGGGAGACCAGGTGGATATCCAGGGGGCCGCGGTGTGTGAGAGAGCCGGGTCTCCTGGCAGGTGTTGTGCCTCTCCAGCCAGCATGGGCTGTGTCACATAGGTAGAAACCAGCCTGGAATGCAACAAAGATGGCTGCTGGGCAGAAGTGATGTCAGGACGTATTGTGGAGCCGCAGGAAGGGGGCAGTGACGCATTTCAAAGCAATGAGCTTTTTAATCAGAACCCATCTAAGGCTATCCATTCTGCTTATGGTACTGTGCCGGGATGACGTCCTTCCCGTATATTTTGATGCCTGAAAAATCTCTACCTCCTGTGAGTTGCTTATATATTTTGTGTGCAATAAACTGTTACTTTTATACTACACTTAGTCTGGCACACCTCTCTCTCCTCTAATTTTCTCACTACAGAGTTCCGCTGAACTCTAGAGGGTGCTGCCTCACGACAGTGCCATACCTTGCAGCGTTTTAAAGAACCCCCCCCCTCCCCCAGAACTACCCAAGCTGCATTATCTCCTATCTCCACCAAACGTTCCATACCCCCTCCACTACAAACCCCCTGGGACAAATTCTGGGACAAATCATTTGTGCCAAGGTGTATGAGAACATCAACATTGCATTCTTCACTAGTTTTGACAATTTTAAAATATGCCTTTTGTTTCTCCTAACAGCAGCACCAGGTAAACATCTAACTAACTTTGACACTTCCACATAATTTCTTAAAGAAACACCTCTTACAATTGAATCACCAACAAGAAGATGACTTCTCCTTTTAGGAGCCTAATCCACAACACTTGCCTGGAATGGAACCTTAAATAAAATGGTTACTTTAGGCAAAGCAATTTTTTCTCAGGGTCCTGCTTCCTATGATAACAGTCAGCTACATTTGCAACTTTGTATCTGCTTCTAGCTCAGAAAGAACACTATAGGAGTTATGCAGTGTCACACCAAAAGCTACATGTTTATTGTCCACAGGCCTCACTCTTCCTGACCCAACAGCCCTTCTCCTGTGCAGTCTTTGAGGAAGAGTAGTTTTTTGCAAGGCAGGTCAACAGAACAAATTGACTTAGACAGCTTCCTGATCTCAGACTGCAGGGCAATACCAGTGAATTTAGGCAAGCAATGTCTTCATGTAGACTAGAAATCTCCATAAAAATGGGACAGCATCCCAGCTTCCAAAAAGCACCACGAAAAACAAATGCCAAACAAGTACTGCACTGAACTAAACCAAACATTTAAAAAAAGATTACTTAAAGCGGAGCTCCATCCAAAAGGGGAAGGTCCGCTTTAAGTCTTTTCCCCTGCTTCCCATGAAGGATTGGCACCTTTGGGGAGCAGGTACCTGAATTTGACAGGTACCCGCTCCCACTTCCGCCACGATTGCCTAAGGCAATCGAAAGCGGAAATTGTCCTCCCCCCTCCCTCCCAGTAGTCTTCTGGGACACATGACAGGTCCCAGAAGACTACGGGGCCATTCACAAAGCGCAGAGCTTCTCGCACATACCTAGTGTGCACCTGGCTGTGAAGCTGCAAGCTGTCACAGCTGGGTGCCCACACTGAAGATGCCGGCGCCAGGGAGAGAAGACAACCGGTGAAACCAGCCATGGTGAGGACACCGCTGGACCGAGGGACAGGTAAGTGTCTGTATTTTAAAAGTCAGCAGATACAGTTTTTGTAGCTGCTGACTTATTTTTTTTTTTGTTTCAGCTGGAACTCCGCTTTAAATTAAAACAAGAGTACTAACCAAAGATAGTTGGCTGTTTTCATACTGATGTTCAAACTATGCACTTTTGTCCTGCTGAACTTCTGTAGGGCTGAACTTCCAAGGAGCAAAGTCTACAGAGTTGCTACCCCTCTTAACTCAAACACTAATTAGGCACCAATTAGGACAGCAGGTCACCTCTCTTACATATGCTAATTGATAACAGCCAGTAATCAATGGGTTGAATTCTGCTTTAACTGTATGCAGCCGCAGCTACCTACAATACACAGTACTGTGACTCACCGGGAAAGGCATAGGGACTTCTGGTCTCATTCCTAGAATAAAATAGTGTCCGGCTGAGCGCCACTAAACCATTCCCAGAAGATTAGCATTTTATGAGTGTGATTGTAGCCTCATTTGCCCGCTTTTCCCCTTCAGAGGAAGCTTTTTACATTCATTGACTATAAATATTTCTTTGAATAGCTAAGGGACGCTCAGCCTGACTCTATTTTGTTCCAGGATTGGGGTAGTAAGTCCACCTTCTTAATGGCAGAACACAGCACTGTATACTGTATATGGCTGGGGCTACATACAGTTCAGGCCCCTTTAGCACGGGCGTTCTGATTAGGTCCTCTTGTCAGTTTTTCATGCAAACTTGATTGGAAGATCCATTCATCCCTATGGACAGGTGGCTGTAAACACACTTGTGTCCATTGACACCCGCCTACCTCTTGGGCTGATCTGGTCCGCTAAAAAAAGGAGATCGATCCTCCTCCATGTAGGCAGATCGGATGGTAATTGGGTGTAAACGGACAGTGGAAACGTTTTACACCTGGCCGCCCATAGAGCAGAGCGGGCTGTGTCTGTGTCCACGCTGCATAAACTGAGCAGACACAGATGTGTCATCTGTCCCACTCTGGTCCCCAACTGATCAGAACAGAGTCCGCCGTGTTATAGAGGCCCTACAGAGCATGCCCAGCAAGTGCACCTGTTTGTGTACTAGTTTGTAGCAGCCAAATTAAAGCGGAGCTCCACCCAAAAGGTGAAGTTCCGCTTTAAGGACTGCTCCTCATTAAGGATTGGCACCTTTGGGGAGCAAGGGGGGGGTACACAAATTTTACCGGTACCTGCTCCTACTTCCGGTCCAATCACCTAGGCGATCGAAGGCGGAAGGTGTCCTTCCCCCCCTCCCTGTAGTCTTTTGGGACACGTGACGGTTCCAGAAGACTACAGGACCATTCAGGAATCGCAGAGCTACTCGCGCATGAACATGGGTACCCGGCTGTGAAGCCACAAGCTATCACAGCCGGGTGCCCACACTGAAGATGCTGGCCTCCTGGAATACAGGATGGCCAGTGAAACGGGCTGTGGGGGACACACCACGGGACTGAGGGACAGGTAAGTGGCTGTTTTTTTAAAAGTCAGCAGCTACAGTTTTTGTAGCTGCTTTTTTATTTTTGATAGGTTGAGTGGAACTCCGCTTTAACTATTTAAAGGGACATTAAACGTCAGGATCAGCTTTAACCCTGAAAAGGCCAAACCACTGTGCCACATCTCTAATGGGACTTTTTTGGAGGCAAATCTGGCCATTGAAAACAGGGAGGTGTAATTTTTGGTGCAACAGGTTTACAGCCTTATGGGCTGGGAGGTCAGGGGGTGGTAAAACTATGAATCACCCACCTATTCATACCACTCCGTGCGAATGAGGCCTTAAAGCGGATCTGTACTCACCTCTGATCCCTGCAATGATCTGTCCCGGAGCTCCCCACCTGGCTGCTGACATCATTGGGTCCCAAATGCCAGCCGCTGTCATTCGCCAGGCAGCGATGATGTCACTCCCGTGCATGCATTCTGCACTGCTGAATTTGTACAGTGAGCCGCACCTGCGTGGCTCACTGTACAGGGGTGGACAGGCAGGTAGGTAGCTTTGTTAACAGTAGGTAGGCATGTTTAATACAGACAAGACAAAGCATGTCTCTTCTGCATTCAAAATCCTGCCTGTCCGGCCATTGGTAATTCTTTTACTTAACGTTCCAGGTTGAGAACAATCAGGCATCTCCACGTGAAAGCCAGCAAGTGCCCAGATATACATACACTTCCAGTGAGGGACAACTGAAGCCTTCCTCTCATTGGATGGCAAGCTGGCTGGGTATGGAAAAGTCAGGACACCAATGGTGGCTTCTATTTCAATGTGTGACTTCAGGAACCCCGCCCACAAATCCGTCAGGTTGGCCAGCTTGGTCGTTTCATTACTCCCCGTTATTCTCACCACGACAATCACCCATCTAAATTCCCTTCACAGAAACAGCCCGCAGCGTGTGACGTCAGCACGCGCCAGCACGGCACAGCCATGGTAACCTGGACGTGGGTGCGCTCCCGGAAGTGGAGAGCAGTACGCCGCGCTTCCCCCCACACGCCGCTTCCGGTTGGAGAAGGCTCTCTCCGCCGGGATGTTCCCGTGACCGGTGCCAGCCCGCCGCCTCTATAACCCCCCGAGCAGTGTCTCCTGGCCCCCGGTGTGCAGCCTCGGAGCCCCGACCATGTTGTGAGGAGGAGGAGCAGGGAGCTGGCGCCGTCTTCTGTCTCTCCGCTCATTTAGCGAGGCCTGTGTGGATTCCCCGGCTTTGTTTTTATAGGGTCCTCCGCGCTCCCTTCCCGGTGACAGCGCCCTCCACCCCCGCCGCCCCGGAGACATGGCCTCTTCTTCTGGGAACGATGACGACCTCACCATACCCCGGGCTGCCATCAACAAGATGATCAAAGAGACTCTGCCCAGTGTACGGGTGGCCAATGATGCCCGGGAGCTGGTGGTCAACTGCTGCACCGAGTTCATCCACCTCATCTCCTCCGAGGCCAATGAGATCTGCAACAAGTCCGAGAAGAAGACCATCTCCCCGGAGCATGTCATCCAGGGTAAGGGGGGTATCACCAGGGTCCCCATCCTCTCCTGCACTGCCAGGATCCTCTGCAGGCTTTACCTACACCCCCATGTCATGCCTTGTAATGAAGGGGAGAACTATACACAGTGACAGCAATTGTGGGATCTGCATCAAAAATCCTTCCATTGCCCCTCATTGCAGGCAGCCCACACTCTGAGATACGTTGCAGGCTTTCTTACTAGTCTGATATGAGCTGATCCTCTACATACCCATACATTGGGACCTGGAGATGGCAGACTTCTATCACATATTAGCCAGGGTCTCTCAGACCTCCATCAGATGATAGATGGTTGGGGCCCACCAGACTGCCGCCAAGAGGTTAGGTGGCCGGGGCCCCGCCGCCCGGAGGTTAGGTGGCCGGGGCCCCGCCGCCGGAGGTTAGGTGGCCGGGGCCCCGCCGCCAGGAGGTTAGGTGGCCGGGGCCCCGCCGCCAGGAGGTTAGGTGGCCGGGGCCCCGCCGCCAGGAGGTTAGGTGGCCGGGGCCCCGCCGCCAGGAGGTTAGGTGGCCGGGGCCCCCCGCCGCCAGGAGGTTAGGTGGCCGGGGCCCCGCCGCCAGGAGGTTAGGTGGCCGGGGCCCCGCCGCCAGGAGGTTAGGTGGCCGGGGCCCCGCCGCCAGGAGGTTAGGTGGCCGGGGCCCCGCCGCCAAGAGGTTAGGTGGCCGGGGCCCCGCCGCCAGGAGGTTGGAGAGTCGGGGTCTGTCAGACCTCATTCAGAGATCCCACCTTTGCACTGTTCTGAAGCATCTCCTACTTAAGCATACTGGTGTCTTTCTCACTAGTCTGATAGCAACATATCATCTACATATACTTTGGCTTCCTTCACACAGATGTATCTATGTGTACACCAGTGCACAGGTGTTCCGTGCATCCATGCGCAGGCAGTCCCTTTCATGTCTTTCGGGACGCACAGCTCTACTGACTCAGCCTCTGCTCCCAGTTTGACAGCTGTGTATGTCCAGAACAGACAATGTGCATTCAGGGACACATACCTGCACAGCAGCTGTGTCCCTGTAGCTGCTGCGTATTGATAGACCTGAATAAGATTGCCATGCAGATACGTGGAACACCTGTGCATCCCATGCAGGTAAAGGTGGCTGTTTTCACAGAGGTACGCACAGATACACCTGAGTGGATGAGGCCCCACATTCTAATCTTGTTAGTAAGTGCTTAGAGAATTCTTGAGTCAGCTGGAAAATATTCACTCTCTGTTTCTTATGTTATGTAGTCTTCTATGTTTGAAGATGCATTTGGGTTTTGATACCTTTTTATGGTCATCCACTATAATATGACACATACAGTGGAAATCACATATGTACAAGGATGCCTGAATTTAGTGCAACTACTTAATCAAAGCATAAAAACTCTTTAGTGAGAGAGTGCTGAGAAATGTACGAGGTTTTATTCCGTTATCATGGTTGGGATGGAAAAAAAAAGTTTCTCAATCGGCTGAATGCAGTCATCCTTCTACCTTTGGTGATTTATACTGACTGTGTAAGGGATAAACCTGCACCTGAGATATGTCTGGCTGAAGTGTGGGTAGACTTGACACATCGTTAATTGAATTTATTGAGAAATTGCTGAGAGTAATGAGTCCCATATCAACTATCTATATATCTGATTTAACCACTTCCAGTCCAGACACTTTCACCCCCTTCCTGACCCAGGGCAATTTTCAGCTTTCAGCGCTATCACACTTTGACAATTGCGCGGTCATGCAACACTGTACCCATATGAATTTTTTATCATTTTTTTTTTTTTGAGACAGATAAAACTTTATTTAGTTTATTTAGTTGGTATTTATTCACCACTGGGATTTTTATTTTTTTTTGCTATGTAAATGTCCAAAGAAATTTTAAAAAAGTGTTTTTCTTAAATTTTGCAAATAAATAATATTTCATCATAAATCTTGGCCAAAATGTATTATGTTTTTATCTTTTTAGTAAAAAAAAAATAAGCCAAATTAGTTTATAACCAAAAATTATAATTTTTAAACACTTTTTTTACATTTTATTTTTTTTTATATTATTTATTTATTTTTTTACATACTGTCACCCTAGCAGTACAGTGTCACCATGGTGACACTGTACTACTTTTGGGGGGTGATGAAGAATATATATTTTTTTATACTGATTTTTTTTTATACCCATATACGATGTAAAAGCAATCATTTCTCTTTCTCTCTGTCTGCATTCTTGCAGCCATTGAGAACTACTGAGTGAGCAGTGATTGGTCACAGCTTGTCACATGGTACAAGGCTGTTGTGAGTAGCCTTGTACCATGTGACCTCTGTGATCATTCACAGATTTCACGTAGTAAGCAATGATGTCAGAAGTGACATATTACTTACTACTTTGCATGTGATCACTGATTGGCCAATCAGTGATCACATGATCGGGACCTCGTACAGAGGTCCTGTCCGACGATTGGTGTTTCACTGTGTCCGGAAGACACAGCGGGCACCGGATCGTGGTGCGGGGAGGCCATTTATAAACGGCCACCCGACCCTGCAGTGCCACCGTCCGGCCGTTTATATACAACAGCCGGTCAGGAAGTGGTTAAACTAAACCTGTATAGCTATGACATGACCAAGCCACCTGGGACATAGAAGGTCCCATGAAGTGCCAGAGCTGAGCATTTGGAAAGTGAAACATCCACACTTCTAGGGATAGGGAACACTAGGCTCCGCGTGTGACTTTGCTCTGTGCCTAAGCTACTTATTGACAGGCATGTGGGGTGTGTGTTGACACTTCCACGTTTTTCCAATGTTTTTCAATAAGACTGTTCAGATCTCTGAGTGTTGCACTGTAATTTGAAGAATGAAACACCTGTTTTTCTGTGCATTTTTGTGCATTGTAGTTCCCAAAAAAAATGAGAACACACATTAAAACACCAGACAAAATAAAACATGGATAGATGTGAATTTGACATAAGTCTATGCAAACTCTGGCTTTCACAAAGTCATTATGTTCACAGGAACGTCTGCTGGCTCCATTTACAAGATATGTTTGTGTATGTAAATGGGTGATATATACATCTCTTCCAGCAATTCCAAGGTGTGTGTGTGTGTGTGTGTGTGTGTGTTTTCACATGCAATAAGTTGTACTGGTCCCAAATCTGTAGATGTTTTAATGTGACTGTGCTTGATTGTTCTTTCATTGCAAGCATATCTGTTCTTTAGCAGGGTTTCTGAATACACTGCCAGTAAAAGAGAAACTCATATGTCTGTAAGTAAAACACAATCATAAAAAGGAAATGTAAAAGTCTCATTCAAAATTTCTATCTGGTAAATATTAAACATTACAACTCAAAACGAAAGGAAAAACCTCTAATTGATTTCTCTGACATATTGGCACTTGCATGTCAGCACTGTTGCTCCATGGCTGACGTGGAGAAGTGTGTTGTCTTAGAAGCTTGTGATTTTGATGTACTCTGCCAATAAAATGTATTACGTAAACTGTTCATTTTTCTGCCTCTGTTGATGGCTAACTCAGAGCAGTCCTGTCTGCACATCACTCAGCAGGTGGCAATCTGCCCATTACATTCCCCTGAGACCTGCTGATAAGTTCCACTTTTATAGAGCTAGTAATATATCACATTTTGTGTCTGTATAAATCATAAGCCTGCTGACAGCTTGCTAGATAAAGCATCTGCATTATTCTTAGCATTGAAGAGTCAAGTGTTGAATATTTATAAGACAGTGTTTTCATTGGATCTGTTTGGTTGACTCTGCGTAACAGTGAATGTGCATAGAATAGATTAACCTTTTTAATTTTTTTATCTGTTTTGTGAAAGACCAGTGTACAGAATAAGGTGCTGTTTAATATATTCTAATTATATGGTGGCAGTTGAGCAATAAAGAAATACTGAGCCCAGAAGGCAAACGCACCATCCAAGATCATATGGAGTTTATGTAAATATATTTAGGTAATTACAAACCTGAGCTGTTTACACTGGATTCTTCATGAATGTAGAACATACTTTATTTCTCATGTAATGTGTCGTTGTGTATATATAGTTACATAGTTAGTCTGGCTGAAAAAAAGACAAAAATCCATCCAGTTCAATTTAAAAAAAAAAAAGAAAAGTTATCCTATACCCACAATTGATCCAGAGCAGTGGTTCTTAACCTTTTTGGAGGTACTGAACCCCACCAGTTTCATATGCACATTCACCGAACCCTTCTTAATTGGAAAAATAAAATATGATTTTTAAAATTCAAAACATAGGTATATATTTTATACATAGGTGCACAAAATGAACAAAACCATTAAGAACAAAGAACAAAACCATTAAAACATGATTTTCACACAAAAACAAAATAATGAATATTTACCGCAAATCAGTGTGACTGCTGTTGTCTTTCAGAGGCCAGTTCAGAAATGCGCGGCATTACCTTGGCAAGTGCCACTCTCATGTCATTTTCGCAACAAAGTCTGTTCCTTTTCTTCGTCTTTATGTCCAGCATCCTCGAAAAGGATTGCTCGCAAAGATATGTTGTAACAAACGGTATGAAAATTCATCCCCCATATAGTAATTCATCCCCCATATAGTAATTCATCCCCCATATAGTAATTCATTCCCCATATTAAGTCATCCCCCAAGTCCCCCCCCCTGTGTCAATTCACTTACCTTTGCTCTGCGCGTTCCTCTCGCTGTATTCCCGCGCCGTTCCGGTCTTCAGGGCGGACTGTGAGAGGAGCCTAGCTCCTCTCACGTTCGTCACGCTGCCCCGCCTACACACATCCTGACAGCCAATCACTGGCTATCGGGATGTGAGTGGCAGCGAGACTGGCCAATCATTGCATTTGAGTCCCTGCCGCCCGAGAGGAGGGAGGGGAGCGGGCGCCCGGCACACAAGAGCCGCGGCTTGCCGACCACTGGCCATGTCATCACAAATCATGAGTCGGGTGTGGGTCACCTCCGCCGAACCCCCCGAGACTGACTCACCGAACCCCTGGGGTTCGATCGAACCCAG